CCAACTAAAGATCTTACCTCCGTCTTTGAACGTGTAGCGACCCAGTCACCCACACACTTGACTGTTCAGCCCACAGTCGCTCACTGGATCATGAGACTTGTCTCTTTTTCATGCCCACAACCACGTCACATTAAGGTGACTCATCAGACGTCGATTGTCTGCACCGTCTAGTGAGCGTACCAACCACTCACGTGCTGACGCGCCCACGTACGCGCAAACGGACCTACATATAGGGAAACCAGACACAGTCAGTACACTGACCCACGCGCGCAGGGAGCAAGGAGTCAGCCAAACACCTTCAAATCATGGAACACGTGTAGCAGCCATACTGCGAAGAAAACACGTTCCTGCCGTCCGGACATTCACCAAGGGACTCCCACATACCATAAGTTCCCTTTGTGACTTGCTCCCATTTTCGCATTGTATTTATTTTTATACGCGTTGCAACCATACTAAAAACTTCTATTAGTGCACATACACCTGATTTGTATTATGGCTATCACCACCTGTGCACTAATAAACGCAGAGAGTAGGAATTCATCAGGACCAGAAGCTCGGTGACCACTGAGGGGCAAAAAGTCTGCCTGTACAGAAGCTGCCAGAGGTCCCAATTTCACTGTCCAGCGCTGCGCTGCCGGTAGGGAGTCCAGCTGAGCAGCTGCATGTGGTCATTTGAATGGGTCTTGAAGGTGTTCAGCCAAACGATTCAAGCACTCTCTTTTACAAATGAGCCAACCGCCTTCATAAGTGACTGTTCCGCTCACCGGTGGCTTCTGTTAGCCGGTCGTGCGTATTAGCTGGAACATTATGAGTTTCTATCCCCCACCATCGCTTCGGCTTCTCAGGATCCACTATGCTATTCGACCCGCGCGAATGCTATTTCCCATCTGTTTGACAATTCCCTTGGCGGTATAGCACACTTGATCAGGGGTATGCGTGCCAGAGGTTCGAGCAATTTTAGTGTCTCGAGACGCAGCGCTTAGGTCTGGTTGGTTGAATCGTTACACAAGCGGAGGGACCATCGCTTCGCGGGGGTTGCCTTCCAGTAAGCCGACATCAGAAAATATCTCATCCGAAAGGGATTTCAGTATGCGATTCTGGTAGGCTTGTTTCACACCATCATCCGAGAGATTCTCAATGGCCAGCTGAGGTGCGAACATCTAGCGCGTCCCTGAAGAACGCAACGAGAAGAAGGAACGAACAATGGGCTAATCTGAATCCACATATGTGTCCCAGAACGAGCGATGGTCGCCACCTACAGTTAATGGCAGTGTAGTCTACCTGTGTTGAAGGTTGGCTAGTAAGTGGAGGTGGCTAAACCGTTCGGTCGTTTCGGAAGTTAGTGCTGCACAGAGACAGTTTGTGTTCATAAAACAACTTCACCGGCGTTCGCCTTTGTCTGTGCTTATTGATTTCAGTCCTAGACGACCACTCAACTGAGCCTCAGCAGCGCTAAGTTTACGTACATGCGCATTCAAATCCCAGGCGACCACAACATCCGGGCTATTCACTCACCGCAACAATGGCTTCACTAGCTATCTTCAAGTGTATCAGAACTAAAATTGCGGCCATTATAGGGGCGACGATGCTGGAGCCTAAGTTAATGTAGCGGTTTGTAACTCTGTAACCCACTTAGCAGTCCGATCGCAATCTTTCATATCAGGTTGGTCAATGGTTAGAAGTTCAAGTTCAAGTCTCCTAGTCCTGCAGGTTGGGAAGTTGAACATGTGTGATGACTTGTACCATAAAAATAGTAATGTACTTGCATTTCCCACCAAATACCGCTACCTTTCAGCTAGGCTTTTAAGCCAAAGGCTTTGGTTGAGGATCTTAATCATCCTGCTCTTTAGGTCTGGGCGCACTAGCAGTATTCCAACCCACGTACAACCATGACATTTACAACTAACAATACTCTCATGCCGCATCGGCCATTGTGTGGTGCCATCAGCCGAGTCACATTATGTACTGCATGCAGTAGAGCAGGTATGCGAGAACAGGTTATTGCTGACGCTTCTCTCTCTTCTCATTCGCATACTTTTTCGTCTCCCTCTTCCCACCCCATTGATAAATCTCCCTGTACACCCGTCAGTCAGAATTGACAACCCCGTTCATACTGCATCGGTTTCGCAAGCATTATCTGCGCGTCATCTAGCGCTGACATCCACAGGTATCTCGAAATCAATCTTTAAAACTCGACGCCCAATGTATCTGGCTGCTTTCAAAGTTCACACGCTAAAGCGAGCAGGACAAGCTGCTCTGGTCCTCAAACTAAACCCGCTTTGCATTGATGTGTACTGTGTCTCAGAAAAAATTCAATAAGCAGGCATAATGGTTAAGCTAACCATCCCCTCTCCATTCGCTTCCAGCTGCGCAGCCCTGGTGATCCAGAGGCTGCTGAAGCTGGATGTGCACGAGGTGCTTATTCACCGAGAAGGATCCTTGCCTGATTGGATACCTGCTAATGATCATCACCTGTGCGGTTCGTCTGGCAATGTCTGTGAAGGGGTTGATCGTTGTGTGTTTGTTGTGTGCTTACATCCCAACCGACTGTAGCTCTGACACCATAAAGGACCAGTTTTATGGCGCCCGAAATACCCTGTTTCGGCAAACTAAAACCTCAGATGTGGTAGTTGCCAGAAACCTCAATGCACATATGGGTACACGTGTCTCAGACTGGATTATGTGGTCAACATGAACTAAACTTGTTACGTACGGACAATGGTGAGTGATTGTTTCAGTTGTGTGCTGAAAGCAGGCTTTCTTTATGCAGTACTATCTTCCGAGATAGCTAAAGTCGATAGCTCAGGCGCGTTCCACTCGGTTGAACGGTCTGTTCTTCTTGACACGCTCGCCCACCAAGGAATTCCGAGGACGTTCGTGGACATAATAAGCTTTGTATTCTCAGGCTTCCGGACGTGAGATTACACGGAGAGCTCCCCAAAAAGCTTCCGTACACAAAGTGGTGCCCATCAGAGATGTCCACTCGTTCAATTCCTATTCAATATCGTGATCGATGAAATCATGAGACGAACGCTGGAAGCTCTCTAAAACCCCGGTGTTCAAATAGCCTGTGACGAAAGCGTTGTCGGTAGACGAAGAGAAGAGAGCTCTCTTCTTTGAAGATAAGAATACACAGGTGTTTTGGATGAACTGGACAAAATCATCCCGTCTTTTGGTATGCACCCACAAAGCGTCAGGTCATACTCGTGGACATGCAGTCACTGAACACATCACTTACAGCCCAAGGAGAGGTACTGGAAGTTGTGGAGCGTTCTACGTATCCTGGAAGTTGTATTAATTCTGACTGTGGTGTGACAGATGAGGTCAATGCACGAATCTGTAAGACTCGGGTCGCGTTTGCTAATTCCAGACACCTATGGCGTCAAAGTGGTGTGTCTCTGAATCTCAAGGGACGTGTGACTAGGGGCTGTGAGAGTTGGCCTGTTTGAGCAGCGGAACTGGGACGCCTTCAGGTGTTCGGCAATCATTGTCTCAGAACTGTAGCTCGTGTTGGTGAATCCAAAACGAGGCAATTAGAAAGCCAGTTTTTGGTTGTGCTACGGGCACTTCCACTGAAGAATGTGTCCATCACCAGAAGCTGTGTTTACCGAAGAGAGCTCTGTTTTTCATGCCCAATTGAGAGTGGCGGAAGTAGAGGTGACCAACTCCTGACCTGGCAGGTGGGGTATGAAGGAGATTACGAAACGCTTGGGTGCTGTCGAAGTTATTCGATTCCCAGGATAGGGACCGCGTGATCCCCACTGTGCCTCGCTAGAGACACTGCGAGATATGGCTGTCAACCGAGGTCAGTGGCGTCCTTGTTGTCAGTTTCTATCCTGATTGTCTGAGATTGCCTGAATGAGTGTCTGGAGATGTATGCACCTCGGAATGATTGTAGTAGGCTAGCACTGTCCATTCGCTATCCAGTTTTATTCATTTCCTCAAAATAAGGCCTTCAAATCATAATCACAACTGACTTCCGCTCGTTTTGGAACACATTTGTGGATTCCGACTACGCGCTCGCCCGAAGTCACTTCTATCTTCGTTTTCCAGGACCGCGTAAGGTGCGGACAAATATCTCAGAAACTGAGAAACTGGCAGATCTGGATGTAAGATGGATTTACCAGAGTCGTCTTCTGGAGTCACCGCCAAATGCTCCGTCGTCAGACGTGAATTCGTACTCGGACGAGATTGACAGTTCTTTGCCCAGTGCTTGGAGTTTTGCTTGTGGCACGATACTACCAAGTTAACTCAAGCACCGAGACCGTACAGTGGAACTGTTTAAATCTGGGGGAAATATATCAGCCCGTCCCTAACAGAATTCGGCCCGATGACCTATGCCACGTCGAGCGAAAGTGAGCGTGCGCGACGACCGTGAAGTCCGATGCACATGAAAAGCTAGGGAAATGGGAGAGACCCAGAAAGCAAGGAATGCCACACGATAATTTAAATTGGTCCGTGCGACCGGTTCCCTGAAACTACATTTGAACAAAACCATCAAAGATAATAATGAAGTGACGATCTTAAAAAAGAAGAACGCATCGACCGGTGGACAGATTACTACGAACAAGAATTATCGTGGCCACCAGACGCCACTCATCTGGAGCTCACAGTTGACGTAGAACCCTGAACCTGAAACGTCCTATGGCCTCGGATGTCAATCACTACATATGTTTTCGAAAAATACATTCGCTTGGCAATCAATTGGGTTTTTATGAGACTGAACTGAATCTCTCCACAACTGAATGCACTACACACAGGCCGCCTCACGTTCCAGTTGGCATGACATTCGAGATATTGCAGTATATTTTCAGCCTTCGGTTTTAATCCAAACAGATGTTCGGTGTCGTTGTGGAATGAGTTGATTAGTTGGTTGCATAACGAGCCTGCTGGCTCCTTTCCATTTATCTCGGCAGCCACATATTAATTCAGGTAGAGGCCGCATGCCTGGAGAGCACATGCACGAAATAGCATACAGGACATAACCAAGCGTCACTCACCTTTATGTTTCCATCGACGTCGGCTTTGACAAGATAAAATCGTTTCCCCCACAGCACTAAATATTCCACGTAAGTTTTCGGAATAATAATGCTCACCAAGAAAATCGACTAAAATGGAGGACGCGCTCGTAAATAATTCGAGTGTGATGCAACTGCTGCCATCAATCTTTGGTATCCTGGAGAAAAACGTGCAGTCCTCGCCTTCGCATGACGCCATGTTGTAAAGCGCGGTCTGCTTTGAAGGACGATTGGCCGAATGAACTTAAGATACCAGTTCATTGGGTTCTGGGCTCCGGAGATTCACCAGTTTTCGTAGGACGAGTCGACACTTAATTCGGCTTTTTCTGCATTTACATCTCAATTTAAAGTACCGGTGTAACTGTGATACTACTGTTCGGGTAGTATGCGTTGTTCGTAGAATTTCGCTTTGCGTCGATTGAAGAATGGAATTCTGTTGCGGAATTCCCGGGGCCACTTTGTAACATTTGCTTGGATTTGACCGACGAATGATTGGAAGGAATGAATCTCCAGGAAGACTCGTTCGGGAGAAGATCGGTGTCCAGGTTTTGTAACTAAGATGCAGATTAGAGTTTTGCCTCCTTGTTCAATGGTCTGTAACCGGTCAGTTGGCATTTCCGAATAAATAACTCCGCAGCGAAGGCCTTCTTCCTTTCACTGGTGGTATCAACAGGCTTTAAATACAACAGATTGGCTGGTTCACATCCGGTTCGTCTTCTCCTGGAAATTCTAGGACCCAAACTGTCCATTGGCTGCCATCTTCGGACATGGTTTCCACTTTCTCGTGAAAGCCATGACCACGGATCGGACTGATATCTCATGGACTCCAAAATATCAATTCCTGAACTTCGGGCAAAATTCCCCTCATTCTGTTGTGACTGTTTTATAGCACACCAGCTAAAATCGGCTTTCCAGAGTCAAACGTGATGGGGCAAAATTGATGAATGTTCAGCCCAGAGAATCCCAAAATGTCAGAACCCTCAATCACCGGTTCTGTTCACATCGAATTTCTGCTCTTCAACTCTCCCCTCAAGTGCCCATTACTTCGCAGCTGTCTAATCTACCCAGATATAAACTTCAACAACGCGCCCAACTATTTCACCCGCTGCCACGGCAAATCCGCCAACTTTCAGAAAATTTACAACAGCTCTCCCGGGCGTAACCCATTTCCATTAGTGTAATATTCCACGGAAATCTACTTTCTGACTCCGTGATCTGCAGCAAATCACTTCACTCTTGCCTTCTTTCAAAAAATAGTTCCATTGACCTTCTGCGATTTTGGTCGTCCATATAAAGACATAAGCACCGTAAGCAGTATATGACGCTGATTTTGTCCTACTCTTGGTATTCCATGCTTGCATAATTCCGCCTCCCTGTTGCGTATGACCGGGTCGACCGACCGCTGCATTTGACGTCTGGTCAAGAAGAATAAAAAACCCAAAGACAATTTACAGTGTAAGCAGCACAGTGAATACGGCTCGGCTGAACTTGGAAAGCTGGCAAGATCTAAGCAGTAAGAGAGGAACGCAGCTTTATGAAAAAAATTTCATGGCGGCAAAATTGATATTTCAAGAACTCAACTGTAATTCCAAATATTACTTTGGGGTCAATTACATCATAGAAAACCACACCAAAACACGATTGGTATTACTGATGGCTGTGTGGACTGAGTTGGTTTGTGTCACTTCCAGGTCACTTTGGCAACCGAAACGTTGCCCATCAAACATGTCCTTTGATCCAACGGCTATGGCTTGGCCAGCAGTTCTGTATGGCATTCCAGGCACCTCCATTAGGTTGAGCTGCCCTAAGAAAGCTGCATGTGCGGGAAAGCGGCTGCCACGGTCGCGACATACATGAACTGCTGATTCGCCTGTTCCAGTCAGTAGGTGACGCGCGGGCTTACATGGACGTATTTGTAAATAACCCTTTTTGGACAACCTCGCTGAACGGCCCATTCTCCCAAAACTTTTGCGGTGCCCCCCGGGATGTATTGACGAAAAGGTCTACCTGAATGTTCGATCCAGTGCGCTGATGCTGCTAACGGACGGACGTGGCTTTATTTCTCCACAATAACATCTGGAGACGGCTGCATTACTTTATTACAGTGATCCGTTACTCGAGAGTATATATTCATACAGGCGGTGTTGGTGGAAGAGACCCGAGAGTATAAGTGAATTTTATTGGTTTTTGAAGAGGATGCAGAAAGCGAAAGTTTTGGCATCAACCAAGATGAGATAGATGACTATCAAAACGTAGACTAGAACAAATCCATTCGGGTCGAGGCAGATGGCAGACGTAAAAACTGTCACTAAATTCTACTGGTATCGCATTGGGGGATTGAAAGTGTTTCAGGAAGAGATAATCGGCCATCAGATATGCCCATTCCGCTGGAAAAGCCAAGACTGAGAAGATTGAGCACGCAGTACATTGAAAATTGTGATTTCTTGACTATCGTTTTCCTGAAGAAGACGCAACATGGTGGTTCAACACTGCATGAATTTTGGAAACACCTTGCACCTTGGACTACACTAAGCTGGTCCCATGCTGCAAGTCTGACAACCGTTTATGCTCGTCGACAGTATTTTTGTGCGTCAGTGAAAGCTTCAGCCTAAGAGACGAGCAGGCTCGTCCGAACTTTCGAACACTGGAAGGACTGAGAGCAGGATAAGAGACGCCCAAACTGGACGTTTGTGAAAGAGGTTAAAGCGCTCACATTCACCGGTACCTGCGCTGCATAAGTAAAAATACCGTCCAACGCGTTCGAGAGATGCCCAAACTGGACGTTTGTGAAAGAGTTTAAAGCGCTCACATTCACCGTTACCTGCGCTGCATAAGTAAACATACCGTCCAGCGCGTTCAATGCCAGCTTCAGACAGCGTTTTCACCCACTGAAACGTGAAAACCGTCTAACTAAATGCCAGCACTCGCATTCGCACAATATCACTGAGTCGCCTGTTATGTGGCTCCCGAAGGAGAATCCGAAGTCATGTCTATGCCACTCGGTTTTGCTAAGTTCGCGAGGCAATGGGCGGACGTTTTACGCACCATAGTGAGCATTGAGGCCCAAACAATATATATCTCGTGGGGAGCAAACCAAGTCTCGAGCGGAATGTAACCTCACTCATTTTTAAACTACGCTATGCTACTCATAAATCCGTAAATCTGTTTGCCTTGTGTTGAAGGGCACGTAGTAGCAGTGGAGGGGCACGATGACGGTTAAATGGACTACCCCAGCTTGAGCTGGTGCTAGAAGTGTACATCTACCTTCAGGGGGTCCACTGCAGGTAGGCTGCAAATAACATCGCCGCAATGTTACCTTTGATCGGAGTGACAAGAGAATGAGCGCAAAGCCCCCAACTTCAACTTGAGCTCAACCCCTTTTAGCGCATGAGACAGCCAAACCTCTTAGGAGGAGTTTTCATTGCCTCGACCATAGGCAATGTATATATATATATATAGGGTGAGCCTGGAGAACCGTATGTTCATTAGCTCATTCAGTGATAGAGAATTCAGTGATATGAGAATATGGGAGAGCATCAAAGATGCCGGGAAATAGCACTGAAATATTGGAATACTCCGGTAATTAAAGGACAGGAGGAGATTGACGTCTCTCGAAGCCACACTACAACGCCCAACACCTAACCATCAGCACCCAGCAAAATTTAACACAAGTGGGTCTACTTATCACTGAGACAAATCCCCTGCTGTGAGTTGGGTTTACTTGACCTTATTTTATGATGTATCCTACAGGTATCTTTAACCTCCCATGAAAATGAATAAAGACAGGCTTCTTGCTTTTGAATGCTGGCACCGGCTGCAATGTGGTTCCACGCAACAACGCACAAACCTGAAAGTTCTACCGGACCCACTGATGAATCACTTGGGTTAAGTATAAAGCGATTCAAACGAAATAAGGCGGTCTTCGTATAGTTAATTTAGAACCCTGTGAATCTGATTTGGTATCATTCTCGTGTTTGGTTGGCTCGTTGGGCATGTTCACTTTATTGATTCTGTGTGATTGCCCTCTCGTGAGTCGGTCGTCTTCTTCCCGCCTTGAAATCTGATTTCGTTCCCTTGATTGGTTGATTAAGTGGTCTTCTGTTTTTTGTTGTTTTCTTTCTTTGATGCCATTAGTCTGCTGGTTGTCGTGAGGTTTCTTGATTTTCCATACCGCACGGAGTCCCGTGGTTGTGTAGATGTTTTGCTCGTAACGGCTGATAGACGGGATCATTTTCAATGCGTCTGTTGATCGATTTTTACTGGGAGCATTACGCCTCGGCAAACTCTCGCCCTGGTTTTATTTTTGCGTAGGCAAATATTTGAAGCTTCTTGCAATTGTACTTGTGTCCTTCCCTGCGTTTGTGGGTTGAGACAAGCCACATTGGGTCACGTCCCCTGCTGGCAAGCTCGTGCTTGTATATTTTGGTAGCATGTTTTCTCCAACATAGTGTTTGTCGCAGTCTGCAGATCAAGTTCGCCTTCTTCACTGTATCCAGCATTCCCTTTGGTTTCGAGGGAGATTTCCTCAACGTGTTTGGTTGAATGAAGGTGAATGTGATACCTTGTTACCGGTAACGTCGTGCGGTCATCTCGTTTTTTGATGTATTGTAGAGCAATTTTCGTCTGGCAATTAATCTTGATGGTTTCGTGAGCACTTCCATATGAAATTTCTCGGAATGCCTTAATGTCTCTTTGATTCCTTGTTATTTATTTCTTCCTCTCTGTTGTGTTGCAATGCGTCTCGATCCACTTGAACGGAGTCCGAAGAGAGCTCAAAACAAGAAGATGTGTACCGAATCATAAGCGAACAATCACAAACAGAACCGTTAAAGTGAATACGCCCAACGAACCAGCCAGGCACAAGTGACCGATTCACAGCGTTCCAATTTGACTACACGAAGACCGCATTCAGAGCTACCAGATAGCGTTTAGGAGCTATATAAGCACAGGCAATAAAGGAAGAATTTATTCACTCAACCCCGCTCTGACGATGTCACCGATTACTGGTGAAACTCTTGCAATCTATCCGCCAAGCTCGAATGGACCAACAACCGAGCACATCTTATCGTTATAAAAAGGATCCAGTACAAAGAACGATTTGTTAACTCTACCGAGTGTCACCAGAAAAACGAGCCGTGGAAGCTAGGCGATCAACCGACCGTTATGAGTTAGGAACATGCACATGGTCAGCGTTTTTATACAGCAAATGCAAGTCGAACAAAAATATGGCTAACATAATGATCCTAAGGAGAAAACGCTACCTATGTGGTACTAGGATATCATGGGTGTCCGGAGATTGACTGGCACATTCTGCATAGTGAAGTAGGGGTCCGGAATGCTCATCACGGGAATTGGGATCAGGAGTTTTTGTTGCATATGCGTTACGTTGGCATGTAAGCCGGTTCTAATGTGGTTACGAAGGTTGCCCTGTGTTCCTTCGCACTTTCGCCACTTTTCCCGTTTTTGGGTATCCTCCGTGATTAAACCGTTCTGACTCCAATTGCCCGTCAGTCCAGGCAACACACTGTGGAATAGTGACAATACGGTGGCCAGCAGTATGACAAGCGCCGTATCTTTTGCCTGCGTCCCATATCTACGTCGTGCCAGTGAACTTAATTGAATAATGAAATGCGTGGGGTAACCACCGCTATCCAGTCGCTCTTATGGCGGATTTTCACCAAGCCACATTCATTATATTCGACAAACCAGTATGATAGTTTACTTTCAGTCGACTGGGTCCTTACGCTGGCAACAGCCGCCTTAGCGGTTTCCGGTGGCAATATCAGTCGGCAGGCCTATGGTTGTCTTGCTTACACGCCACTCGCCAAATCTGATGTCGGAGTGATGATGCGTGGTGGGCCATAATGGTGTATTTGATAAATGTTTTTACGCTCGACAATCGGGATCGATACGTTGTCGAGAGCATTTTAGGGTGCCGTTAATGCATCCCTTTGGCGTTCAACGAGGCCCAAGTTTCTCTTACTGCTGGTTGACTTTGTGATAATAAACATGCTGATTTGGTGACAGGGCACGCGTTTTTGCGCAGCCTAAAGAAGAATAAACATAAAAGTGACCTAACTGACTAGACTGACCGCAGTTAACTGGTCGCGTAGTCTGGGTGCATAAAACAGCCTGATCGGGAGCATGCTTCGAGATGTATTGACCTAGTGTAATATGGAGACGGAGACACAGGCAAGTGCTCACGATGCTGAAATGGCTTCAGACTCCACACTTAATGGTTTGATGCGCAGGCTGCCACGGCTGACCGGTACCAGCATTGCAGCTAGTGAACGCCTTGCTGTTAGAGTTTATCCATACCTAAGGGCCGAAAGTAGCGGCTTAAAGTGGTGTGTCCTAGACGCTGTTAGCTAGCACCAAAAATGCTGTTGAGCAGATGGGTTTTTAGTTTATTCTGGAGCATTTCCCGGTGGTATTTTCCAATTACTCAATAATGCAAACGATCGGGATTAAGCCCCGCCATGCATGGCACCCTTGAGAGTGGCTCATCCATTATGCACTGAGCGCTCTGGTACCCATTTGATTTGAAGTTGAGACGGCCCTCGGGGGCCCGTAGTTTTGTGGCGTCCAGGTGTTTTTGGAGATCAGCCGAAAAGCGGGTGTTCTCTTTAGGCTACAGATAACTCTGTTGATTCACGGATTCACGGACTGATACACAGGATCGAGGCTTTTGCCGAAGTTTCCCGGGTGGGTTTTGTTCTTGTCGGTCAGTGGCTGTCGTTCACCTAAAAGGCACAAGTGAAAAAAGGGTGTAGCACTGCTCTTTA